AATCGCCGGATCCACAGTCGCCACAAACGGTTTGTGGCGTATATTAGAAAAGTCAATTACTTTGTAGCGGTCCGAAATCGCCACAAAATGCAATAGAAAACCGCCATAAAATGCATTTTAACGGTACTATTTTACAGTTTCTGACAGTTTAAAACCGCCACAAATATTTGATCATGTACCAAAATATAAAGAACCAAGCTTTTAATTTGTCTCAATTTATTATATTTATACTCAAACTCTTTCTCTTAACTTAGGCCGGATTCCAACTTAAGTTCCATTTTGAATTGAATGAATGCTAAAAACTGAAAAGCAAACAGTACTGCAATTGTAACAACTAAGCCGAAGAGGATGGAATTCCATAATGCTGATAATGAATTATTTCTTTTCTGACACCGCTTAAAATAACTAAAGTAATGCTTCAATTACAATAAAAAAATTAGAGCAAAGAGAAACCACTAAACAGTACAAACCTATCTAGTACAAGCGTAATGAATAGTACAATCCCAAACTTAAGCTGTTGGTTCAATATTTAAAGGTTCTCCATGGGTGTAAAGTGGACACTCTTGGGGTTGAACACCCGATAGCTCACAAACACAGAAACACAAAGTGCTGCTACTGATAGTACAACAGAAAAGGCACTTGCAACATTCCACGAGCTACTTGATGCTGAGTTCCATTTTGAATTGAATGAATGCTAAAAACTGAAAAGCAAACAGTACTGCAATTGTAACAACTAAGCCGAAGAGGATGGAATTCCATAATGCTGATAATGAATTATTTCTTTTCTGACACCGCTTAAAATAACTAAAGTAATGCTTCAATTATAATAAAAAAATTAGAGCAAAGAGAAACCACTAAACAATACAAACCTATCTAGTACAAGCGTAATGAATAGTACAATCCCAAACTTAAGCTGTTGGTTCAATATTTAAAGGTTCTCCATGGGTGTAAAGTGGACACTCTTGGGGTTGAACACCCGATAGCTCACAAACACAGAAACACAAAGTGCTGCTACTGATAGTACAACAGAAAAGGCACTTGCAACATTCCACGAGCTACTTGATGCTGCTGCATTTAATGCCTTGCCAGTCAAAGAACTGCCAACAGATATGTCAATGGGAACCCAGTCACAGTTAACAGAATAGTGCCCAGAACCATGCCATGGCTGACCATCTACTGGATACCATAATGCAACAGACATCTTACTGGATCCACCAATGGTAAATTGCACGTCCTGCAAGGTATTATTTTGCATCATTATATTTGCTTGTTATCTTATAAATGAAGTTTAAGATTATAAATACTAATCCATACACTCCTAAGAAAAAAAATATTTGGTTTCAAGTTCTCTCTAATTACACTACAAGATGCGCCTTTGAATAGGAAGAAACTAAGATAAACACAATACCCGCAATATGTTAAAAACAAAAACCACATGATTTAGAAGACCCTCTGCAATCACATCTAGATTTGAAAAGATATTTTCATCTATGCATACAAAGAAGAAAAAAAAAAAAAAA